CCAACTTGAAGGAGCTGGAGCAGTTTTGCCTTGAAGAATGGGCAAAAATCCCAGTGGCTAGATGTGTCAAGCTTATAGAGACATACCCCAAGAGACTTGCAGCTGTAATTGCTGCAAAAGGTGGCTCAAGTTTTCTGTTTTTTTGGTTTTATTTCTTGTTTGTTTCAAATCAAATTATACAAACCCTAAAAAAATCCATTTGAATTCCAGGTTATAAGGCAACAAAATAGGAAAAATGCCAAGGGGGGTGAATACTTTCACAAGCCACTGTACTAGAAACTCATGGATGATATGGACCCAGATATAAAAAAAGGAATACTACATGTGAAAGTTCTAAAACTGTTATTCAAGTATAAATTACCAAAGTTACGATAGATTGCCATCGATTTTCTGTTAATTACCTAAATTACTGAAGATTCCGGTCACTTTGGTAAATTACCGCCAACTTTGCAACCCTAGTCAGCACTGGGCTCCATGGTTACAGCACTAGACATGACAACGCTAGAAACCCCACCACGCCTGATTGTAGCTGCTCTGTGTGGGATGTAGTGGTGTTTAGTGTTTGGATATATAACAGAGGACAGCCCTAGTGTAAACTAGGAAGAATTTCAAGCACAGGCAAGCAAGATAAGGATGGAACTGAAAAGCAAATTGTAACTATTTGATGCTATAAATGCACAAGGCAAGCAAAAGCAATGCACAATCACGCAGTTGTGGAAAAAGTACCCAATTGTCATACTTGAGTAAAAGTAAAAATACCTTAAAAGAAAATGACTCAAGTAAAAGTGAAAGTCACCCAGTAAAATATTACTTGAGTATTTGGTTTTAAATATACTTAAGTATCAAAAGTAAAATTATAAATCATTTCAAATTCCTTGTATTAAGCAAACCAGACGACACAATTCTTTTATTAATTTTTTATTACAATAGCAAGGGGCACACTTCAACAGTCAGACCTAATTTACAAAAGAAGCATTTGTGTTTAGTGAGTCTGCCAGATCAGCGGCAGTAGGGATGACCAGGGATGTTCTCTTGATAAGTGTGTGAATTAGACCATTTTCCTGTCCTGCTAAGCTTTCAAAATGTAACGAGTACTTTTGGGTGTCAGGGAAAATGTAAGGAATAAAAAGTACACTATTTTCTTTAGGAATGTAGCAGAGTAAAAGTAAAAGTTGTAAAAAATATAAATAGTCAAGTAAAGTACAGATACCCCAAAAAACTACTTAAGTAGTACTTTAAAGTATTTTTATTTAACTACTTTACACCATTGCAATCACATGCAATGAGATTGCTGCAGTCTATGGGATTAAGATTATCAAATAAAAAGGTGGCCATTCATTGACCATTTAATCATACCAATCGAATCACTTGATTGACTCTCCCCTAAAAATAGAACCAAACAGAAACAGAGTCTTCCTGCAGACTAGTGGTAGTGGAGGATTCCGATGGCTGTAGCCTGGGCAACAGGGCAGCCTAGAACAGAAGCCCAATCTGACCCCCAATCACATCCCCTTCCCTCAGCACCATCTGCTGCTGCTGCTGCTCCTGGGGCGTCATCAGCTTACTGTGCAGAGGGAGGGGGGCATTAGTATTGAAAAGACACTTGAGAAGAGCCATGTGGCTGGAACAGAGCCCTTATAAAACGGGATGAGACGGGGGGCAACCAGGGTTGTTTGGGGAGGTACAGATAATGAAATATTGTGACACAGGGCAATTAAAGCCGCCTCTGCTGCCCACCTCTGCACATTAGACACTGCACATATCAGACAGCTGTGAAGTGCAGAGATAGAGAGATAGAGCGAGCACCAGCCCTGTTGGGATGCATAGGTGCAGAGCACATGCTTTCATATCAGTGCATGAACCTCATGGGGGTATTACTATTGACATTGCATTAGGCTTCAATCTCTCTCTTAGTGGTGCAGATAAGTGAATAAAGCGTCCTACTACTCCTATTTCTGCTCTGTTCTAGTTTAGTCCTGCAGGGACACCCTTTGGGGGGGGGGGGGGGGGGGGGGTTGGGTCTGCAGGCGCTTGCTGTCTGATGGGGAACAATAGCCCCAGCTGCACACTGCACTGGGCCACTAATTAAACACACCATTCTTGGGGGCTGATTTGATGGCAGCCTTTGGCAGCTCAGTGCAGGGCTGCAGATCTGGAGGTCAGATAGGAGCGCTACTGGGGGGGGGAGGAGATGGAGAGGGTGGGTATTCAGAGATAGAGTGACAGAGTTGGGGCATGAGGGCTGGGGCAGCTGTTGAATAGTACATACAGGCACAATGCTTAAGAATGACATGAAGCATGCTGGGCCAGAATGACTTTGGAGTTTGTTTCCAAAAGCACAAAAGCCCCGGAAAGTTCTGAATTTCCAATGAATGGCGGCTATTCACAAATGGCATGTTCCAGGAGCAAAAGAGCACTATGAAAAGCTGGATATATTTCTTCTTTGTTTTGTTCGGCTGTGACATATAAACGTGTGTATGGAATAATTACTTATAGGATTGTTTTTTGTTATTCTCTGTCATCTTTAGGTGTTTGGTAAGCAAATACCCACATGGGCACAGATGTCAATTCAACGTCTATTCCACATTGGTTCAACGAAATGTGATTGAAATTACATAGAAACAACATTGATTCAACCAGTGTGTGCCTGGTGGGTAGCTACTCAATCGAATCACACTTATACTATTACACAAAACGACCTTGTGAAAGTTTGCTCCTTATTTTAGAGTGGAAACTGAATGTTTCAACCAGAGCTCACATGGACTGCACATCTCTTAATGTGTTGCAGTCATTTGGTAGCACACCTGACACATACTGTAGGTCTGTAGTGAATTCAATAGATAATTCAACTAATAGTAAACATAATTGGCACAATATCAATGGTCCACATAACAACCAAAGGTACTTCCATCAAACACCACCACTCTAGTAAAAAAGTAGAACCCTGGATCTGAGTGAATCTTAAACAGCCATAAGACACATTAGCAACACCACTATCCTCCATCCACTGCCTCTAAAGCCACCACATGCAGTCTGCACCCACAGGACTGGTTAGAGGCAGTCCTCAGTACACAACACCTATAAATACACACATTGACCATGGAAGTTAGAATCAGGTGCAAACTCTGGTTCACAGCACCAAAGTAAACTCTCTCCTAATCCTGCTGCAACATGCAATTGTAAGTAGGTATGCATTATGTGCACCATGGTCATACACACTATAAGGAAATGTGATCAATGTGAATAGGTGTGCCTAATTACCATATGAGGGAAAAAGTACGGCATTCAACCACATCTCAACTCTTAAGTGACTGAGGACATAAAGTGACAGTTAATCATAATATAATAATAATAATATGCCATTTAGCAGACGCTTTTATCCAAAGCGACTTACAGTCATGTGTGCATTCATTTTTACGTATGGGTGGTCCCGGGGATCGAACCCACTACCCTGGCGTTACAAGCGCCATGCTCTACCAATTGAGCTACAGAGGACCACATCAATGTATTATTGATCAATCACTCTGGTTACCTTCCATCTGATTAGTGACAGACACTACAATTGTTCTCCTGTACTGCTGTGTGTTAAGGCACAGGCTCAAGCTCTGTATGTTGTGGGTATGTGTGGAGGAGAGGTCTGTTAGGGATAGCAGATATGGGGATCAATTCAATCGAACCTTCATAATATCACAGAAGGGTTTTGGGTGCTGTAAAAACATACTACAATCCACCGTCTTGGAGTTATAGTATATTTTTTTACCTGATGTAGTTCTGTCCTTGAGTTGTTCTTGTCTATTAATGTTCTGTATTATGTCATGTTTCATGTTTTGTGTGGAAGAGTAGCTGCTGCTTTCGCAACAAATAATGGGGATCCTAATAAAATACCAATAAAATACCAAATACCAAGATAGACCCCTCACAGGTAAATGCTTCCAGTGGTCAGAATAGATGTGGGCCTGCATAAACATGGATATAACAGGCCATGATGATAGGTCAATTAGGATAGAATCCAGTACATCAGGCCTACGGGATGTCCAAGTGTTGGGTAATGGTTAGAGCACCAAACAGTGTGTAAGTGCCAATGGTTATTTACGAATGATTGTTGGGAGACTGATTTGATACGACAGTTGAATTTGTTTTTAGCATGGAGAGAACATTCAAGATCCAAGATTTACGCTTAACTTTTTATTGATCATTTTGTCATACATTACATTTCTAATGTGAAACCTTTAGAAAATAACAAATGTATTCAATCGTATATCTACTTTCTTAGTTTTTGACAATCAGGAATTCAACAGTAAAACATTTTATAGAACAACAAATGTAATATATCTTTATTTTTAGTTTTTGACATAATCAGGAGTTCAACATTGTAACATTTTCGATAATAACAACTGAAATAATATTTTGTTTATATTCTCAAATTAAATGTCTAAAGTGAAACCTTCAGATCATTACAAGTACATTTATTTTTATCTTTCTTTTTTTAGTTTTTGTCATATTCAAATAATCTAAAGTGAAACCTTTAGAGAATTAAGACAATTCTGGAAAGTGGGAAGTATATCGCTGAATGCAATGGTGTTATGCTGCTCAGCAAGAAGACATTTTAAAAAGTCAGTTCTTAAGAATGCTTCTTCTTGGCACCGCTTCTACTCCTACTGCGCGTGCTTCAACGTGCGACGTTCGCTCTGTGGAACACAGGATGCAGAACTCGCTTCTCCTATCTCTCCAAACCTCATCCGCACAAAGAATGAGGGCCGTTTGTCGCTCTTGTGACATACCTGACCTCATTCACATAAAGAATGGAAGTCATCTTGGCATGGACGGGACAAGAGACGACGAAATCACGGGGGCCCATTCGGGCTGGCCACGCACTGCCTGGATCGGAATCCTCCTCAGGAGTATCCAGGGATGAGAAACAGTGTCATCCTGTAAAAGGATGAGTATTTCCTTATAGGTTGAAGGTTTACAGCATCTCAAGATAGAAGAGTAGTCCCAGATCAGCGCTTAGGGAGGGTGATCTCTGGAACCCAGTCGTTCACACTGCGGCTCTCCTCACAGAACAGGTGCAGCTTCTCCAGAGCAGGGTCCTCCCAAGAACCATCAGCTGAGTTCTGTTGACAAACAAGAGGGGAAAGGAACATTAGTCACATGGACACAATGAATGGTTTAAATCATTCTCTATTATTAAATGGTTCAATAAAGTCAGTTTGAGTTGAAATAGCACATACTGTGATAAGACAGCAGTGGGCATCTTCAAGCTGGCCAGTCTTGTCACCAACAATCTCGGCCAGGCGCTGCATGTCGTTCACTCTGACGATGCTGATGTCATTGTCAAAACAGTAAGACTGGATGAGGGTGAAGTGGATCTGGAGAGCAATGTCACACTCACACTCCACATCGGTGGCCAGGACGCAGAAAGACACACTGTCTTGGTCACTGTTGAGATAAAAAAAATATAACTTTCATTAGTCAATGTTATCATATAATAAAACAATGATTTCAGTAATGAGTAAATGTACGAAATTAAGCACAAATTCAGTACATAAAACACTTACTCATTCATTATTTTGGCACTTTCATAGACACCAACAGTGAGGCGATCCTCACACTGGGCAGACTTGAGAGCTTCCTTCAGAGATATGCCAATAGCTTCCATTTTGAAGTTTGTAGAGCCCAGTTCGAGGATATGTTGATCAGGTTTCAACAGAAGAGTGTTTGTGCTATTTGTAAGAAATAGCTAGTATTTATAGGGAGGACGTGGCACACTAGCGTTCTGTGATTGGCTGCTGGGAGACAGTGCGCAAGAGACCCCCTAGCAGGCTCGTGCCTATAGACAAAACCTCGGAAGAAAGGACAGGGCAGTTTCCGTTCGATTGAATGGATCAAATGCAGAACTCCCTGACGTTTATCTGATGTACTGGATTAATTAATTCCGATTTGTGCAGGGTCGGTTTGGATGATGAGATTATTAGCCTACTGTAATATCCATAATAACCATCCATATCCAAGTGACACATTTAAGGCTTCCAAACTACATAAAGATATCGCTATACTTTCTAAAGCTGGTCAATTTTTCTGGTGCATACTTCATGATTTAAATAGAGCAAATGCATGATATATCAAGTAGATTTAGCATACATTTAGCATACAACTTTATGTATTAAGAAAGATTTCTGGAAAAACGTAATATTATTGTGTTACTTACTTAAATATACAGATAACTGACAACTTGTAGGTCTATACAATTTTGTTGATTAGGCAAGTATTGGAGAACAGAATTGGCCCAACGTTCCTATTTGCATCCGATTATGGCACGCGCCGCTGTTTTGCATTTGTAAAACCATGGTTGACTTCAGGCGCGTGGCATTTGGAGATGCCTGTATCTCTCTCCATAGCAACAAGATCCCATCTGTCCGTGGGGGTGGGGGAAGGTGAAGGTGTCAACAAAGAAAACTTCTGCTGCACGATACAAGCAGAGATAAATCGGCACCTGCAGAGCACAATGGCCAATGACCGCCGCAGATATTACGCATAGGCAACATAAAACGTTTGTCTTTAAATAAGAAATTGTAATAGAGCGCATTAGTAACCTTAACGGGTAAAACGCACAGAAGCAAGTGCAATAGTTTGGAAATTGCAATATTGTAGAAGTCTCGCTGCTTTCCCTATATTATTTGATTGCATAATATACCCAAAGTATCCTACATTGTGACCACAGTGTTTCAACTTGCAAGTTGCAAACCCAACTTCATCTTGTGATTAGGCAATGAACCAACATGATTGCTACTACTAAATTAATAGAACGTTGCTAATAGAAAGTAGGCTAGTTGAAGTTATCTGCTTGTTTGGCTAATTTGCATCTGTACAAAGAACTTTTGAGCCATGGGTCAATGTGCAGTTGGCTATGTCATTCGCCCGAGCGAGCCATGGCTTGAGCCAGGAACACCTGTCACGCGCTGCTGGGGAGGGGGCCCCATCTGGCAGATGTGCTGCTTCATGAACAATGCGTCCTATATCGACTTGCACGCGCCTGCCCTGTTGCCATGCTAGGTTGAGCCTTCCAAAAATAGCCTAGTCATTGAGCTGCTATCAGATGATTCAAACATTGATTCAAGGAACCCTATCTTTTATGTTTGTAAACTGTTGTGCATTAGGCTAACCTATGCAATGCTATGGGTTGTTGTTGCCTGCAACATGGGCCATTTAAACCTCTCAACTAATGATTGCCTGATAATAAACCAATGATAATAAACTACTCTAATTGCTATAATCAATTCGTTTATTTTGTAGCAAAATAACCTGCTTTAATCAAAACAGCATATTTATTTATTAGGTGTGTTTATGCCCCAAACATTTCTGAATGATTCAATCTTGGGCTGCAACTCATGCGCGTGGCCTCTATTAAAGATACGACTACGCCTATCAGAGATTCATAGTCCTGAGTTTTGACCATACGCTCACTTTATTTACATTTAAATTGGATCAAAACTCAGACAACAGACTTTTTCTTCAAGCGAATGTAAAGACTCGCGGACAATAGGAACGGGGGGGTCCTCATAGCAACAGTCCTCCATCTGCTGCGCTGCTATCCACCAAACAATGGAGCTGAATCAATCACCGCGAACCTGTTATCTCGACCCTCTAGAAATACACATGCAGCAGTCCTATTCTAGATTACGAAAGTGGATCAAATTAGGCCAAACTGCGTAATATTTGGATTTGTGTATAGGCTATTAGGCTTTATCCTGCAAATATAACTTGGCCTGAACGGTTCACGTGCCAGTTGCTCAACATTTATAATTACTTGTATGGCAAAGCATAGATATAATCTTCATTGGTCCATGTGGCAAAAGTAAATAAATAAAAATTCGGACAGCTGATGGCAATCACGTGGTTAGTGTAGGCCAGCAGTGATGATTGTGCGGCACGCACAGCCTCCTGGCACGCGCTGTTAATTTGCATTTGTATTGAGAGCGTGATAATAGGAGTTTCTGCGTGCACAAAAGGGTCCGTTTTTGGTTCTACAGATGGCCATCCTCCACCTGCCCTCTCCAAACGGGGAATGGTGCGCCTTCTCCACACTTTACTTTCACTATATTATTGTTTGTGTTTAGACATACTTTCACCTAAAACTGAAACATACAGAATCTAAATCAGAGACAAATCGGGCACTTTTAAGCACTTTACAAAGTTTTATAATATCCAAATTGTCAAACTTTGGAATTTTAGAGCGGCCGCTAAATGACGTAAATGTAATGTAAATGTCGTTTCAGTAGGCTTATAGACTGATTTAGCCTAATAAATGATCAAATGCATCTCCAAAAGTATATTTTGAGGCTATTGGCATTAATTAGTGTGTCATGTGAAACAATCACAACTCAAGTAAATTTGTGATGCAAAATATGACTGCCAAAATCTCCATTTATTGAGTTTAAACTGGGAGAGAAGTCGAAATATTATCTAAATCCATCTTAAATAAATACAACATTTTTTGTTTTCGGTTGGCGAGCATGCCCGGCACAGAAAAAGACCTGCCATGATGGCCCCTATCAATCTGCCATGAGCCGTGTGACAATAAAATTAGCATACCATTTCGCCATTCAGGTCAACCAATTAGGGCGCTGCGTATTCACAGCGGCCACTAGCCCAAGGGTATAAAACGCAGCACAGTCCCTTCAGAATCACTCGTCTTTTCTGATTTACTCTCCGACTACACTACCTCCCTCTCACGAAGTTTTGGAATATTCAGCATCATCATGACTCTTGAGGAAGTTCTGATCCAGAAGCCAGCTGAGCGTGCCCAGTGCACTGGCAAAGTCCTGGAGGAAGTTCTGCTCTCTGCTAAAGACAACGACTGCCTGACCGTTGGTGTCTATGAGTCTGCTAAAGTTATGAATGTGTAAGTATGAGCTTCTTGAAATGCTGATGTAAACTTAATTTCTATCTATGTTTGCTAAATTTGAAGTCATTTTGCATATACTTATGGTGCTTCTATTTTTTTCTTTGCAGTGACCCAGACAGTGTGTCTTTCTGCATCCTGGCCACCGATGAGGAGTGGGAGTGTGACATTGCTCTCCAGATCCACTTCACCCTCATCCAGTCTTACTGTTTTGACAATGACATCAGCATCGTCAGAGTGAACGACATGCAGCGACTGGCCGAGATTATTGGTGACAAGACTGGCCAGCTTGAAGATGCCCACTGCTCTCTTATCACGGTATGTACTATTTCAACCCAATCTGACTTAAAACATGCAATAATATATCGTTTTTAACTGTTCATTGTGTCCATGTGACTAATGTTCCTTTCCCCTCTTGTTTGTCAACAGAACTCAGCTGATGGTTCTTGGGAGGACCCTGCTCTGGAGAAGCTGCACCTGTTCTGTGAGGAGAGCCGCAGTGTGAACGACTGGGTTCCAGAGATCACCCTCCCTAAGCGCTGATCTGGGACTACTCTTCTATCTTGAGATGCTGTAAACCTTCAACCTATAAGGAAATACTCATCCTTTTACAGGATGACACTGTTTCTCATCCCTGGATACTCCTGAGGAGGATTCCGATCCAGGCAGCGCGTGGCCAGCCCGAATGGGCCCCCGTGATTTCATCGTCTCTTGTCCCGTCCATGCCAAGATGACTTCCATTCTTTATGTGAATGAGGTCAGGTATGTCACAAGAGCGACAAACGGCCCTCATTCTTTGTGCGGATGAGGTTTGGAGAGAAAGGAGGAGCGAGTTCTGCATCCTGTGTTCCACAGAGCGAACGTCGCACGTTGAAGCACGCGCAGTAGGAGTAGAAGCGGTGCCAAGAAGAAGCATTCTTAAGAACGGACTTTTTAAAAATGTCTTCTTGCTGAGCGGCAATAACAACCGTTACATTCAGCGAAATGTTTCCCACTTTCCAGAATTGTCTTAATTCTCTAAAGGTTTAACTTTAGAAATGTAATAATGGCAAAAATGAATATTAAAAAAATGATAAATATTAAACTTATAATTCTCTAAAGGTTTCACTTTAGAATGTTTAACTGTCAAAAAAGAAAACAAGGAACTAACACATAATTCTCTAAAGGTTTCACGTTAGAATGTTTTGCCTAACTTTGACAAAAAGAAGAAAAACATGAACGTATGTTATCTGTTTATATATGTTTATGCTTGAGAACATTTCATTATGTTAAAAATGAAATACATAATGAATTATAATTATTTCAATGTTTTAATTAAGGAATGTTTATGTAAAAAAACGAATACCCTAATAAAACTGAATGAATATTGTATTTGTTGTCATGTGTTTTCACTCTCATTACTAAGTTTAGAGGGTAGCCTATGCCTACTTAGTTATGGTGGGGAGGTTATTGGGTTGACAAAAAAATGTGCTCAGCAGGCGCTTATGTCTGTCAACTGCTCGCTGTTGTCACATCAGTAAAAGTCTGTGTTCCCTCCCTCCCTCCCTTCTTGGCTCATCTGCATGTGTATGGGGGGCGCACAATAGCAGCGTGCGCTCTGCTGTCACATCCAGCGGTCCACACAGAGGGACTATTGTCTGACTGGCAGATGTCTTTGTAGCCACAACGTGCCATCTGCCGCTTTCTGCAGGTGAGGCCGGACGAGGGAGGAGTCAAGGGTAGTTTGGGGGCCAGAGTAGACTGGTTTGGGGAGAAGGGTGCAACTGCAGACCACAATTTGGGGCATTCCTGTATGTGGGCATTCTTGCATCTGCAGAAACCCCTCCTTATTCTTCTATTGGTCACTTCTTTAAGCTTTGACTCCAGCACATAGGCGGGAGGCAGGGGCACTCCGCCGATAAACCCCACAGAAGAATAAGAGGCGGGGGCGACAACGGTAGTGTCCTTTGCCCCCGCCTGTCATGCACTGTTTTCCTGCAGTTCTGTTAACGACGGCGAGGGCAGGTGTTCGGCAGACGGGAGCGATGGACACTGTGAGCTGGCTTCGCCAGCTTGTCCTAAGGAGTACTCCAGTACACAGCAGGCAGGGGCGACACCGTGAGCTAGCTGGCTAAGCCAGCTCACAGTGTCCTTTGCTCCTGCCTGCTGAACACAGTAGCTAGCGGTAGGCGGGGGTGACACTGGTAGACAGTGTCCTTCGCCCCCGTCTGTCGGGCATGGTTTTCTCCGGTACACAGCAGGAGGGAGGCAGGGGCGACACCATGTGTTTGCAAGATAGCACACAATGTCGCTAACTAGCTAGCACACAGTGTTGCCCCAGCCTCCAGCCTGATGTGCTTGGGGGAGCCCCCGCCTGCTGGCACGGTTTCCGCAGGTACACAGCAGGCGGGAGGTGGGGGAAACACTGTGTGCTAGCTAACTAGCAAGCTAGCACACAGTGTCACTAACTAGCAAGCTAGCTGGCAGAGCACCAGATGATAGCCAGCCCCCTATTTAAACCCCCAAACCGAATAGTGTGCAACTGCAGCCCGCAATTTGGGGTGTTCCTGCAATTCGGGCTATTGTTTACATGGTGTCTAGCAGGACACTGGTGAAACTTTTTTAAACACTTAATACAAAGAAGCTGGATAGCAGCCCTAAATCTGCTTGCATAAGGTTTACATTTGACCTCCACCTGCTTCAGATTAACAAAACCTGCATGAATGTCAATTAAGTCTTTATTGCACTTTATTTAGATTTTTTTTAAATATTCAAGCATCAGTAAGTCACAATAGTAGAAGTTCCATTTGGTGGTTGAATATAATACAGAGACAAGCACCTGTGCATAATCAGTCTTCTCTAAAGGCAAGAAAAATCACAAAGACAAACAAGCATACTGATTTCAGAGACTATCGATGTCTCATCAAACAACTAAGGAGTTGTCTAAAAGCAATGCTCTTTCAGCACATTCTTCATATTTCATGCTGTCTGTTCTGCTATGAATAAAAGTATATAAGTATCATTTATATACTAAAAATGGTGCTTTTTAAATTCATTTTGATGGGACTCATTATTTCATCAGGCACGTTTACACCTCTATTTCAGCTTCAAAAGATTTCAAATAACAATCTTACTTTGTTAGAGACATCAATCCTCCACAACTGTTCATATACAGAGGTTCCTATGTTACATTCATACTTTCATCCCAAAGTGCAATAGAACATTTGTAGCTGTATGACCCTGAGTGAATGTTCAAAGGACCTATGTCCAAGCTGGTCACTTACTGAAGGACACATAACCTGGAGGAGTGCATCAGACCTCTGTAGGCTCGGAGGCCCTCTCTCTTAGGGTCCCGGATCAACCCTCCGACCACGGGCACAGTCTCGGCGCCACGCCTTTTCTGGGCGCGGTGTAAGAGGATGCGGTAAAGTCCGGTGATGGGGCTGCGGCTATCCTTGCCCTCGTTGTTGCGTATGTGTTCCATGTTGACACCCAGCTCCTCCAGGGAGGCCCTGATCTCCTCCTCCTCATCATCCAGCTCCCCTGGCTCTGCATCCGCTAGGCGCAGAGGGTTGAGGGGGAACGGTGGCACCACAGTCCACGGGTACTCCACAGGAAGCAGCCAGTCACAGCCCAGCATCTGGTCCACCGCATAGCGTTCCGCTGGCACAGGCTTCAGGATGCCCCGGATCAGCCGCTGGCATGGGCCTGGCACCCAGGGCGGGAGGGTGTAGACCCCCCCTATAACAGCAAGCCTCAGCTTGCCAATGGTGTCGGCTCGGAAGGGCATGGTGCCAGTCACCATGAAGAAGAGCAGGACACCCATGGCCCATACGTCCACTGGCGGACCCACATAGCACTCGTCCCTGAAGAGTTCAGGTGCGGCGTAGGGGGGAGAGCCACAGAAGGTGTCCAGGGTGTCGCTGCAGTTGGTGACCATGGTGCTGAAGCCAAAGTCAGCCACCTTCACACAGCCATTACAGGTGTACAGTACATTCTCAGCCTTCAGGTCCCGGTGGATTATGTTTTTGTCATGCTACAAACAAAAACAATACACATACTGTAAGAAATAATTTGATGATTTAAATTGACTAAAATAATACCTTTATATCAAGAATCTCTGTATTGGACTGTAATAAGACCTGCGGTCACATTGCTGATCCTACAGTAAACAGTGTATTCGGAAAGTATTCAGACCCCTTGACTTTTTCCACATGTTGTTACATTACAGCCTTGTTCTAAATTAAATACTTTTTTACGTCATCAAATTACACACAATACCCCATAATGACAAATCCAAAACGTTTTTTTTTCGAAATTTTTGAAAATGTATAAAAACTGAAAAACTGAAATATGACATTTACATAAGTATTCAGACCCTTTACTTTGTTGAAGCACCTTTGGCAGCGATTACAGCCTCGATTCTTCTTGAGCTTGGCACACCTGTATTTGGGGAGTTTCCTCCCATTCATCTCTGCAGATCCTCTCAAGCTCTGTTAGGTTGGATGGGGAGCGTTGCTGCACAGCTATTTTCAGATCTCTCCAGAGATGTTCGATCGGGTTCAAGTCCGGGCTCTGGCTGGGCTGCTCAAGGACATTCAGAGACTTGTCCCGAAGCCACTCCTGTGTTGTCTTGGCTGTGTGCTTAGGGTCGTTGTCATGTTGGAAGGTAAACCTTTGCCCCAGTCTGAGGTCCTGAGAGCTCTGGAGCAGGTTTTCATCAATGATTTTTCTGTACTTTGCTCCATTCATCTTTGCCTCGATCCTGACTAGACTCCAAGTCCCTGCCGCTGAAAAACATCCCCACAGTATGATGCTGCCACCACCACGCTTCACCGTAGGGATGGTGCCAGGTTTCCTCCAGACGTGACGCTTGGCATTCAGGCCAAAGAGTTCAATCTTGGTTTCATCAGACCAAAGAATCTTGTTTTTAGTTGCCTTTTGGCAAACTCCAAGCGGGCCGTCATGTGCCTTTTACTGAGGAGTGGCTTCTGTCTGGCCACTCTACCATAAAAGCCTGATTGGCGGAGTGCTGCAGAGATGGTTGTCCTTCTGGAAAGTTCTCCCATCTCCACAGAGGAACTCTAGAGCTCTGTCAGAGTGACAATTGGGTTATTGGTCTCCTCCCTGACCAAGGCCCTTCTCCCCCGATTTCTCAGTTTGGCCTGGCAACCAGTTCTAGGAAGAGTCTTGGTGGTTCCAAACTTCTTCCATTTAAGAATGGAGGCCACTGTGTTCTTGGGGACTTCAATGCTGCAGAAATGTTTTGGTACCCTTCCCCAGATCTATGCCTCGACACAATCCTGTCTTGGAGCTCTACGGACAATTCCTTCGGCCTCGTGGCTTGGTTTTTGCTCTGACATTCCCTGTCAACTGTGGGACCTTATATAGACAGCTGTGTGCCTTTCCAAATCATGTCCAATCAATTGAATTTACCACAAGTAAACTCCAATCAAGTTGTATAAACATGTCAAGGATGATCAATGGAAACAGGATGCACTTGAGCTCAATTTCGAGTCTCATAGCAAAGGTTCTGAGTACTTATGTAAATAAGGTATTTCCGTTTTTTCTTTATTATAAATTTGCAAAACATTTCTAAAAACCTGTTTTTCTTTGTCTTTAAGGGGTATTGTGTGTGGATTGCTGAGGATTTTTATTTGTTTAATCAATTTTAGAATAAGGCTGTAACGTAACAAAATGTTGAAAAAGTCAAGGGGTGTGAATACTTTCCGAAGGCACTGTATGTGTATTCAATTGAATGCTACGGACCATGTGTTTGATGGCGGATAGGATTTGTGCGAAGGTGATCTTGGCCTCGGCTTCTGACAGCTTGCCCTCGGAGCAGATGTGTGTGTGGAGGTCCCCTCCCCCGGCATACTCCAGCACCAGGTAGAGGCGGCTGTGTGACTCCACCACCTCGTACAGACGCACCACATTGGCATGCTGCAGGGCCTCCATGCTGGAGATCTCCCTGGAGAGCAGCCTCTGGGCCTGAACGTCCAGCCGCATCTTATCCAGCACCTTGATGGCCACCTTGTCTGGGGGGAGAGAAGGTGAGAGGTGTTGGACACTTGAGACAGGTGTTTTCCTCAGTTCATTTTCAATGTGCTTTACTGTGGTGGTTTCACAGTCACATTAATGAATTGCTATGCTGTTATCATCATTACATGGATGATGATACCAGCTGCACTGATTAATTGTTGATGCAATTTTGCACGGTCAGCAGTGTGGCCTTTACCTTTGGTGAGGGCGTGGAAGGCCATTTTGACGTGGGAGAAGGTTCCAGAGCCGATCTCACCACGGACCTTGTAGAAACCAATCCTACGGCCCACAATCAGCTCCTTGATGGTCTGCTCATCCTGACACATTTTGATGGTGAGCTTCTCCAGGGGGGTGAGGCATAGGGGCGGGGTATCCTCCTCCTCATCCTGCCGACCTAACGAGCTGACTGACAGGCTATAGCGGCTGTGGAGAGTCTTCCTCCTGGTGGACACCTGGTACTGGCCCCCTGGCATCCTTACTGCTGCTCAGGTCATGGCAGATTATGGACTGTGGACAGGAAACAAAATATATACAGTCATCTTGAGAACCCAATACTCCAACAGCATTATGGATGACCTAGACAGTAACTATGAACTGAATTATATAGAGGAGAGCGTGGTGTAAGTTGAGGCATTTTTTTAAACATTCAGCATCATTCAGTCAAGGGAAATATAGTATTCTTTCTAACAAAGATACAGTATCTACATATATTTCAAGATGTTGTGTATTCTTGGAAATAATCAGAATTAATGTAAACATTACCATTTTGGAAACATAGCTTGTACAAAAAAAAGTGGTCACTTGGCACAAATTACACTGGGTTAAGCTGCCTACAAATGTCTGTTCTGAATGAAATCTTACTACCTTTTTAAAACCATGTCTATCTTAATTTCCCAAAACACAATTCAACACAATCATAATCATTTTTTTGTCTTTTAATAATTTTAAGCATCTTTTAACACAGGCGTAACACCTAACAAACACTTTTAACATAGGCCAGGCAAAGGGAGGGTATTTTACTGAAATTTCAGAAGTTTAGCAGTAAACTACTAGAATATTGGTATCTTTGAAGGATTTTATTTAATCTATCAAAATACTTCTAGTGATTCAGATTATCACAGATGTCTGTAATCATCTCTGGCCCTCTCTCTGGCATTATCACATGTAAAATACACAGAAAAAAATATAAACAATTTCAACATTTTTACTGAGATACAGTTCATATAAGGAAATCAGTCAATTGAAATAAATAAATTAGGCTCTAATCTATGGATTTCACATGACAGGGAATACAGATATGCATCGGTTGGTCACAGATACCTTAAAAAGAAAGTAGGGGTGTGGATCAGAAAACCATCATTTGCCTCATGCAGCGTGACACATCTCCTTCGCATATAACCTTATTCTAAAATGATCAGGCTGTTGATTGAGGCCTGTGGAATGTTGTCCCACTTGTCTTCAATGGCTTTGCGAAGTTGCTGGATATGGCGAGAACTGGAACATGCTGTTGTACACGTCGATCCAGAGTATCCCAAACATGCTCAATGGGTGACATGTCTGTTGAGTATGCAGGCTATGGAAGAACTGGGACATTTTCAGCCTTTAAGAATTGTGCACAGATCCTTGCGACATGGGGCCGTGCATTATCATGCTGAAACATGAGTTGATTGCAGCTGATGAATGGCACGACAATTGGCCTCAGGATCTCATCGCAGTATCTCTGGGCATGGAAATTGCCATTGATGACATGCAATTGTGTTCGTTGTCTGTAGCTTGTGCCTGCCCATACCATAACCCCACCACCACCATGGGGCACTCTGTTCACAACATTGACATCAGCAAACTGCTCGCCCACACGATGTCATACACGCTGTCTGCCATCTGCCCCAGTACAGTTGAAACCGGTATTCATCCATGAAGAGCACACAGCGTGCCAGTGGCCATCGACAGTGAGCATTTGCCCACTGAAGTCGATTACGACGTCAAACTGCAGTCAGTCAAGACCCTGGTGAGGACAACGAGCACGCAGATGAGCTTCCCTGAGATGGTTTCAGACAGTTTGTGCAGAAATTATTCGGTTGTTCAAACCTACAGTTTCCTCAGCTGTCCGGGTGTCTGGTCTCAGATCATCCTGCAGGTGAAGAAGCCTGATTGACATATCTAGGCCCTGACTGACAGTTATGCTGCCATTGTTGTTTTAGATTCCTCCAGTCTCTCTCCAGTAGAGGACATTTCTCAGTAGAGACATTTCCAGTTATTCTAGAGCCAAACTTCCGTTTTGAGCGCGTCACTTGTCTCTGTGCTGCGCTGTTTGCTGCTACTTGGCTATCTGCTAAACTTTACGGGTTTTACTTTTTAAAAACCGTTTAATCAATCTTCATTTAACACATTTTACCAACGTCTTAGTTATGTTTAATACTTTTTTTCCTCCCTCAACTTTTTTCATTCAATTTTTTCACCCCGGACGCTTTATCTGGACATGGTTCTACAGGACTTCCACCAGCCAAAGCTAAGTAGTAACATTAACACTATGCCATCTAATTGCAGTCGCTGTACTCATAATATACAGGAAAACTATCGCCTTATGGTGAGGATGGCCGTGCTGCAAGCCCCGCTTCAGATGCAATCGTTAGGCAAGGGCAATTTAAGCGTAGGAAAGGATGAAACAGCATCTGTGCCACCAGTAAGTACAGATAGTAGTAGAAATCCCCTCGTACAGTCCCCGCAGCCGGACAATTTTCTCAAGGTTTCTGGGACAATGCTGTCGGCATGCTCAACCGCTCATTCAGCCGACAGAAACGTTTCAACCGGTTCTCCCAATTAAGCAACGAGTCGGAGTCAGAGGCCGAGCCTTCTCAGGTCTCTCCTCCACTCGTTACCGGGTCTGAGCCATCGAAGACTCCCACCATAAGCTCTGACAAATTGAAAACCCTAGTCATTGGCGACTCCATTACCCACAATATTAGACTTTAAAAAATCATCCAGCGATCATACACTGTTTACTAGGGGGCAGGGCTACTGACGTAAGAGTATAGGGATATTGTTATTCATGTCGGCACCAACGATGTTAGGATGAAACAGTCAGAGGTCACCAAGAGCAACATAGCTTCAACGTGTAAATTAGCTAGAAAGATGTGTCGGCATCAAGTAATTGTCGATGGCCCCCTCCCAGTTAGGGGGAGTGATGAGCTCTACAGCAGTCTCACAACTCAATCGCTGGTTGAATTTGTAGATAATTGTCCCTCTTTCTGGGACTCACCCACAAACAGAACCAAGCCTGGCCTGCTGAGGAGTGATGGACTCCATCCTAGCTGGAGGGGTGCTCTCAACTTATCTACCAACATAGACAGGGCTCTAACTCCTCTAGCTCCACAATGAGTTAGGGTGCAGGCCAGCCTGCCAGCTTAGTGGAGTCTACCACTAGCACAGTCAGTAACCTTAAACACAAGGCCAAATATACACTGGAGTTGCTTACCAAGACGACATTTAAATGTTCCTGAGTGGCCTAGTTACCGTTTCGACCTAAATCGGCTTGAATATTAATGGCAAGACTTGAAAATAATACTATATAATAATAGGAATACCTGGGATAGTATAAAAGTAATCCTTCTATCCCCCCAATGAAAAAAAATGAAAAAAAGTAAAGTGGTTGTCCCACTGGCTATCATAAGGTGAATGCACCAATTTGTAAGTCGCTCTGGATAAGAGCGTCTGCTAAATGACGTAAATGTAATGTAAATGTCAGTGTAGTCAGCTCAGCTTTCCCCATTGAGACCGTGACTGTGCCTTGATCTAGGTTGAGCAAAACTTAACGGGGTGGTGTTCGCCTTAGCAATCTCACGGAAATAAAGACCTTCTCCATTCCTGTCATTATTGAAAGAGATTGTGATATCTCACATCTCAAAATAGGGCTAATTAATGTTAGATCCCTCACTTCCAAGGCAGTTATGGTCAATGAACTAATCACTGATCATAATCTTGATGTGATTGGCCTGACTGAAACATGGCTTAACCTTGCTGAATTTACTCTGTAAAATGAGGCCTCTCCTCCTGGTTACACTAGTGACCATATCCCACGCGCATCCCGCAAAGGCAGAGGTGTTGCTAACATTTACGATAGCAAATTTCAGTTTACCCCCCCAAAAATGACTGCGTTTTCGTCTTTTGAGCTTCTAGGCATGAAATCTATGCAGCCTACTCAATCACTTTTTATAGCTACTGTTTACAGGCCTCCTGGGCCTTATACAGAGTTCCTCACTGAGTTCCCTGAATTCCTATCGGACCTTGTAGTCATGGCAGATAATATTCAAATTTTTGGTGATTTTAATATTCACATGGAAAGGTCCACAGACCCACTCCAAAAGGCTTTCGGAGCCATCATCGACTCAGTGGGTTTTGTCCAACATGTCTCCGGACCTACTCATTGGCACAGTCATACCCTGAATCTAGTTTTGTCCCGTGGAATAAATTGTGGATCTAAATGTTTTTCCTCATAATCCTGGACTATCGGACCACCATCTTATTACGTTTGCAATCTCAACAAATAATCTGCTCAGACCCCAACCAAGGATCATCGAAAGCTGTGCTATAAATTCTCGGACAACCCAAAGATTCCTAGAGGCCCTTCCAGACCCTCCACCTACTCAAGGACGACGGAGTACAAAAATCAGTTAACGACCTAACTGAGAATCTAAATGTAACCTTGCGTAAAACCCTAGATGCAGTCGCACCCCTAAAAACATAACAACTTTTTTCACAAGAAACTAGCTCCCTGGTATACAGAAAATACCCGAGCCCTGAAGCAAGCTTCAAGACAATTGGAACGGAAATGACGCTCCACCAAACTGGAAGTCTTCCTACTAGCTTGGAAAGAAAGTACAGTGCAATATCAAAGAGCCCTCACTGCTGCTCGATCATCCTATTTTTCCAACCTAATTGAGGAGAATAAGAACAATCCAACATTTCTATTTGATACTGTCGCAAAGCTAACTAGAAAGCAGCATTCCCCAAGAGAGGATGCCTTTCACTTCAGAAGTGATTAATTCATTAACTTCTTTGACGAAAAGAGCATGATCATTAGAAAGCAAATTACAGACTTCTCTTTGAATCTGCGTATTTCTCCAAAGCTCAGCTGTCCTGAGTCTGCACAAAACTGCCAGGACCTAGGATCAATGGAGACACTGAAGTTTTTTTATCCTATATCTCTTGACACATTAATGAAAATAGTCATGGCCTCTAAACCTTCAAGCTGCATACTGGACCCTATTCCAACTAAACTACTGAAAGAGCTACTTCCTGTGCTTGGCTCTCCTATGTTGAACATAATAAATGGCTCCCTATCCACTGGATGTGTACGAAACTCACTAAAATGGCAGTAATAAAAAAGCCTCTCTTGAAAATGCTAAACCTTGACCCCGAAAAAGTAAAAACTATCGGCCTATATCAAATCTCCCATTCCTCTCAACATTTTCTGAAAAAGCTGTTGTGCAGAAACTCACTGCCTTCCTGA